CAGCCCTGTGAGGTGACAACATTTAATTGAAGAGACCTGGAGCGTACCCACTCTGCCCACTTGTACCCCCATATTGCATATATCAGGTCACACTGCATATAACAGGTTAAGTCCTCATTGACAGTTATTTGCCAAGGCTGTGTTTCTGCAGAAGACCCACAACTGACCTGTTGTGAACTCTGCACCTGCTGCTCTATCCCTGGTTGTTGCTGCCTGCCTTCGGAGGGAGTGATGCAGATATTGGCTTGTTGATCCCATCCCTGTTCTTTATATTACATATCTTTCAGATATGTAGCAGTGAGGGATATTTTGGACAATCTGTAGTCCTTTTAAAAGTATAAAACCTGCACTGCAAAAACAGTATGAGAGGATTACAAAGCCAAGATGAGGATTTTATAAAAAGGAATGTACTAGTGGTGGGCAACAGGAAGATTGAAAAAAAGATTAGATACCATTTCAAGTGCAGAAGGAACAGAAGGTCAACGAAGGGCCTTCAGGAGATGGCAAGGCTAATGTAATGGCTGGAAGAAAATTATTGGGGGGAAAATTAATTCCTCACTTCCTTTTGAGCAGGACATTTTATATGGAAATTTGAGCAGTTGAAAAATGCACCAACACTTTTTTTTGGTACACACAACCAATGGAATTAAGGCTTAAGAACTTAAATACAATCCAGCAATTAAAGACATCCCCAACCAAAAAGATGTCTTCTTCAGAGATGAGATATCTAGGCCAAGGAGACTAGGGATAACACTGAGATAGCCTGTCTAAACCAAAGGCACTTGCAAATGAATAACAGGGCAATTAATTCAAGAATATTTTAGATAAACTTTAAAATACAGCAGTCGAATTAAATAATACAAGACTAAATACCTCTTGCTTTCTTCTTGTTCTTCAGTGTGGAATATTGAATGACGATAGCCCCAATGAAAATCTGACAGAAAGGATCCTGCAGGATGCTCAGCGCTTGTTCCTAATGAATGATGTGGTACAACCAGTCTCTGTGGATCCATACGTTACTCAGGACAACATCCGTTTTTCTAAACTGGTGGTTGACATTGTTCAGGGCAAGGATACTCTTTATCATGTGATGTACATTGGGACAGGTGAGTGCTCTTTACACCAGGGGGCTTTTCTTTTCTTATCTTCCATTTCTTCAGATGGTGATCTGAATTCTACACTGAAGGTTTTCAGAATGAAAACGATATGAAAATTGGCCTTTCCTTATTAGTAGGGCATAAGCCAAGCAAGAATAAGAGATTATTTTAAGAAACAAACCTGAATACAACATATAACTTTTAATCATGTACTTCTGATTTTAATTTGTTGTAAGCCGCCCAGAGTCCCCCATTGTGGGGAGATGGGCGGGGACAAGTCTAATAAATAAACAAACAAACAAACAAACAAACTAAGTAAAATGGTTATCCTGGATTCTAGGGATCTTATTTTTAAGTTATTATTGTTTCTTCCAGCTCATTTCACTGGTGGTGGTTGTGGTGGTGGTAGTTAAGGAGTTAAAATATGAGAGTGAAACTGAGTATATGGCAGGAACATGCCTGATGGATTAATAATAGCTAGTAGTAGCAAGTGGTTACACACTTGACTGAAAGTTGTATTCAGTTGCCTCATGAAGTGGTATGAAGACCTCCCCTTCACTGGAGGTCTTCAGACAGAGGCTGGATGGCTTTCAGTCCAAAAGTTATAGCACATCCTGCACTGAGCACAGATTGAACTAGATGACATCCGAGGTTCCCCCCAATTCTATGAATCTGTGATTCATTTCCACCAAAATCATTGTTGCATTCCTGCAGCATAGCTTGTCCCATTCTTTCATTTCTAGCATCTGTTTTGTAAGAAATACACCTCCCCAAAAGTGAGTGCACCATCTACCAAAGGCTGATGAAGAAGAGACTTACTATAAGCAAAACAGAATCAGCTAACATTTTCCCAAATGGGATTTTTATGAATGGCAAATGTTTCCTGAATAAGGATTCAGTTCAAAAAGAAATAGCAAATAAATAGCAAGGTACATGGGTGGACATACGGGCGGTCTAAATATCTCTGTGTTGTCAGCTTTCTTGTACATACACTTGGGCTCTCAGGTAACGAAAATTAAATTTCTTTGCATTTAGATAGCATTTTAGGTAAAAGCATAGATAGCAAGTAGATTGTAGGAAGCACATTTGTGCTATTAGGAATATAAGAACCAAGATAATGTTTTGGTGATTTTTCAGTATTCAACAGTTCATAGAATCTTAATTCGTTAGTCATGCTGGCTGAGGCTTTGGGAATTTTAATTCAAAACATGTATGGAGCACTAAATTGCCTAACTTTAACATAATCCTGCTTGATTTAACTTATCTATTCTATCTGGCAACAGCCCTCCAGTGTATTAGGTAAAGATCTTTTCCATCACTGCCTCTTTGTTTCACCAGAAACCGAACTTGGGATCTTGGACCCTGCAAAGCATGCATTCTGCCATGATCCAAAAGTGCAGGCATATCTTCTGAGTCTGCTTTGACTAAAACATGCCTATCCTATAGATAAACGTTTACATAATCATCTGCATACATATACCTAAATTAATACTTGAAAACCACACAGCCATTTTCAAGTTCTCTGAATTTAAAGTTATTGTAATGTAGTATTTAGTAGAAATACTTCAGTGTCCTTAATATTTGCTAATTTAGGTTGCTGGATGGTTTGCAGATGCTGTAGTTCACCTACTTCTGATGTATTCAGTAAAAGTGCCTTAGTCACGTGTAGCTTGTTACCAAGCTTTAAGTACTAGGTTGATCTTCAGTTTTGGCTTTTTTTTTAGGTAGAAAAATCTGGAGAAGTCCCTGAAGTATTATAAATATGATTTACTTTTGTGATGGAATTTAAGATAAACATTTTGGCTAATTAGAATGTATGTTGTGGCTCCATTTTAAAAAATGATGATATATTAAGAGACAGTTGATTTTATGTTAAAATATATGGGCCCTCTAAGTGCTACTATAATTTACTCCATGACTACAGAATCACTTTCTTGAGTTCTCATCCACCACACAAAGTAATAACTTATCTACCTTTTACCATCGCCTACTTTGAATGTGATTAGCTTTGATGTATTTCCAGTCACAAAAAAAATATACAAAAAAGGGGAATTCTTTGAACAAGTGAAGCCTCTGAAGCTGCAGAGATCAATGGTAAAACCTAACTACAATAACTCCAAAATTAAAATGTTATTTTGTTCCCTCATTAGACAGGTTAAGAATTGATCTAACTGGAAGAATGTTACCTCATTCCTTTTCCCACTACGCCTTAGTACATTTCAGTATCTGTGCTATTCAAAGTTAAGATTTAGAGTAGGTTCGGGTAGTCCCTGGGTTAAGAAAGCCCGGTTTAAGGACGACCCATAGTTAAGAACAGACCTTATTGTAGCAACATTCAAGTTAAGTACACAATGATTCAAGTTCATTACACAATTCTACTTATACAGTATTAAACAATAATACTGTTCCAGCGTATATACAAATTCGACTTAAAGACAGACCTTGGGAATGGAACTCATTCTTAAACTGGAGACTGTATTGCCAATTGTCAAAGCACTGGCCAGGTGCAAGACAAGTAGTTTTTTTTAGTTCTTTCAGATCCAGAGACAATGAACAGTAGCAGGTGAGGAGATTTTAAGCTTTATTGTTAACTCTAGCAAACAGATTTAAACAGGAATATTTAAAAAAATAGTATAAAAGCATAACATACCAAGCAAGATGATAAAACTCTTCCCTTACCGTCGGGAGCTACCACAAGGTGACAGTGGAGAGACCCCAGGATGGCTTAGATAACACAGCTCCTGGTACCAAGGCCCGTGTCCACCCTCCAAGACTCAAGGGGCAATGCCAGGGTTTTTGTCAAAGTCCGGGACTGCAATCTCATGACTGTTTCCCTGGTACTGAGAAGACCTGACCTTGACTAGATATTGCATCTGCTCATCACGTGAATTAAGAGCCTGGGAACTGTATAGATAAGCTAGTGCTTAATCTAAACAATTCTGAAAGTTTTCTCTTCTCCCCACTGCCTCCCTTCTAAGTAAAAGTGAAAAACGAGCCTGTTAAACATTGTGACTCAGAATGAACTTTTTTAACATGTGCAGGAGAAATCAAAATATGTCACCTCAAAATAACAGTAGTCTTCCACATTGCCACTACAGAGACTACCCGCAATAGCATTTTAAACTAAAATGTCCAATAAAACCTACACATAAAATACAAATTAAAACAATTATCACATTGAAATTGCATTTGTATGTTCTTATTCCATCCATTAAGACTTAGATCAAATGAAAAAAAAAAAACTTACAGCAGTTTTATCCCAGCCTTGAGTTAAACAAGTTTCTAAATTGTTGAGCAATATTAGTGTAGACTATCAGAATTTTCAACTATCTTCTGAGAATTGAAATCCACACATCTGAGGCTGCCTAGGTTGAAAAAACTTAATTGAAAGCCATCCTATGTCCTTCTGATAAAAGAACATTTTCTAAACACATGAAACTACAGGTAGCCTGCTCTGGAGCTTTTTTTTTAAACCGTGGAATCCCAAACACAGTGCTCTTTTTCATTGGTTTACTCACTATAATATTCAGCATGAGAAAGAGTCAAGTTGACAATACAAAATGTCTGTCTGTCTGTCTATCTATCTATCATATTTGTATCCCACCACAATCAAAACAACTCTCAATTAACATGATATAGAAAAACAATTTAAAATATCTATGGTAATTGTAACATCAATATAAAATCAAAACTCAGTAATTATTAAAAGAACAACTCAAAATAAAGCAAAACAACTCATGAGTAAAACAACTAAAAATAAATAAACAGGAATGGCCCAATCTAATTAGAATGCTCTCTGGAACAGTTCTGTCTTCAGCATCTTTGCGAATGCAATCAGGGAGGGGGCCAGCCTGATTTCTGCAAGGATACTTTTCCAGAGATAGACAGACAGACAGAAATGGTACTTTGTGCACTCACCAGTTGTTCCTTCCTTCTGGCAATGCATAAGATTCTCGATGGTGGAAGTTCTTGAGAGAACATGCCACATAAAGATAAACAAATCTCCCTGTCTTTCAAGTTGTGTCTCTTAATTTAATTGCATCTATCCACTCTGTTTCTTCTAGGGAAGTTGTGCCTAGCAATTTGCTGTTTAGAATGTGGCTTGTTCCATTCCAATTTAACTTCTAATTAGATCTAGGCAACAGGGCAAAGATGCAGAGAAATAAGTTTCCATAAATATCTTTGAGCGTGATCCATAGTTTAACCTCATTTTCCCCTCAAAGGACCAACCCTCTTCCAATCTCTGAGCCCCAATACAATAGGATAAATCCTCTTATCCCATGACCACCAGGTTTACTCATTTGATGAGGAACTTAGTCAGAGGGTTTCTGAAATGCCACTTATACAGCATCAACATGGCTGCTCCATCCATAGTGCTGTGCTTTCCCAGGAAAAGGTTGGCTGGTTTGAGGTGCTGCAGACAGGTGCTATGTTCATGCTTCCCTGAGCTCTGACGTACCTTCTCTAGATCAAATCAGAAACATTGCAAAGCCCTATCTCTGTTTTGACTGAGACTTTTAGCATTGGCAAAGAAACTCTTCTACACCAGATGTTGTTGGTCTGAGTCTACTGAGTTGAGTTCAGTAAATGTGCATAGAAGAGTAGCTGTAACATATTACAAATTTTATTTAATATGTAATGCTCAAATCTGCTGAGTCCTAATTGTCCGTTCAAGACTAATGTCATAGCCACATTAAGAGTCTGCACAGATGTCTGCTATAATTTAAGCCTATATATAGGCTTTCCACCAGTCATAACATATGGTTGACCACTGGGTCATGTAAAAAAGCAGTTGTGTTTAGTCTGTCCCAATTTTCAGATGGAAGTCATGTACAGTATTCCTTTTGAATTTGTAGTTGTATTTCCAGTGTCAGTATATTTGGGTTTCAGACTCATATAATAATCAAGAACATACAAATACAACTTTGTGTGAATTCTGTAGGATGCATTTATGCTAGCTTGCAGTAAGGAAATGCTGATAAATATAGATATGTCCGGAAGTTGCTGGTCTTATCCTCATCCTCTTCAGGGAGCTACAACTTTTTTGATCCTCTGATTTGTTGAAAATACTTCACATAGGTACAGAAGGTATGCGCTTGGGCCATATTATGCTTGTAAAGGATATAATTTGGTAGCCAATTCAGTTATGGTATTTTATTTTCAAAAAAATAAAATCACGTTTTTAACATGTATTTTTATTTGTACATTTAAAAAGAGGGGCAAGAAATTAGAATGAATCAGGTTGAAAAGCAGGTATGTAAATGGTATATAACTAAATCTCTCTGCACTGAATGATAAACTAAAGTAACACCTTGATTTACTTGCCTTTTGTTTCTTATTTTGCTAGAACATGGCACCATTCTGAAGGCACTTTCTACTACTAATAAGAGCCTGAGGAGTTGTTATTTAGAGGAAATGCAGATTCTTCCCGCCAGCCGAAAGGAGCCAATCCAAAGTCTCCAAATATTGCACAGTGGCAGATCGTTGTTTGTTGGTTTGAATAACGGAGTGCTAAAGATTCCTCTGGAGAGATGCTCGATGTACAGAGCAGAAGGGTAAGAAAATTTATGGGTCGGATATATTTCACACTGTCCTCGAAGAAAAGCACTAGGGAAACATGTTGCTGCTGATTCATTTTAGAATACCTTTCGTCATCACTGAAAGAGAAGCATAAGACGTGGGGCAGTCCAGGTAGACGGAAGCAAAGAGAATCATTTGGAAGCACCTCTGTTTTTAGTGCATCCTCATTAGTCCCAATTGGAAATCAATGCAATGTACAGAGGTATATGGTTACTCCTTCTTTTTCTTGTGCATTGTTGAATCACCACCAATTTTATTATCCTCTCCAGTATTTTGCAGATAGATCTGACCAGAAAGTTTGGTGATGATGTCCTCACAGTTGTTACTCTGCAGCCCCAGTTACATGACCAATGGGTCCAGTATGGATATCACCGGACTTGCCATATTTAGTGAAATATGAAGAAGCTGCAGCAGTGGGTGGAGTCATGGGCTACCTCTCTCCTTCTTCCCTGGAGCTATGAAAGTTATCCAGAATATTTCTCTTGTTTCAAATGAATCATAGCTAACATTATCCACAGTTTGTTGCTTTGGATGAAAGACAAAACTCTAGAGAAGCAAAAGGCAAATCAGAAACTTACAAACTTACAAACTCCTCCTCAGTGCCTTCTCTGTTGGAGAAGCCAGTTTGGTCTCATGGCGAAGGCACCAGGCTAGAATCCAGGAGCCTGTGAGTTCTAGTCCCGCCTTAGGCATGAAAGCCGGCTCGGTGACTTTGGACCAATCCCTCCCTCTCAGCCCAACTCACCTCACAGGGTGGTTGTTGTGGGGAAAATAGGAGGAGGAAGGAGTATTAGGCATGTTCCCTGCCTTGAGTTATTTATAAAAATAATAAAGGCAGGATAAAAAAAATCTAAATCTAAAAAATCTAAGGAAGAAGTCTTGAGGACAGCATTTTAGCTCCTAGCTCACTTTGGTTCAACCACATCCCAGTCAGCTATGATTATGATGTTCAAATGTAGCACAATATCTGAACTTGCATCTTTCTAAAAAGAGCTTTATCCACACTGAGGAGTTAATATTTCAGATGTCTTTTTCTTCCTATAAAATATGAAATGACCTATCTCTTCCCTAGTGTTATTTCATTGTTTGTAAATACATTGGTCTAGTTTGGTCTAGTGGTTAAGGCACAGGACTAGAAGCAGAGAGACCTGAGTTCTAGTCCCGTCTTAAGCACAAAAGACGTCTGGGTGACTTTGAGTCAATCACACTCTCTCAGCCCTAGGAAGAAAGAAATGGCAAACCACTTGCAAAAATATTGCCAGGAAAATTGCAGGGACTTGGACTGACTCAAAGGCACAAAGAAAAAAAGTTAGGAAACTATTAGTAATTAGGATGTAGCTTGGTGGCAGGGCTTGCTGTGGGTTGGTTCAAAGTTTATTCACCTCTGAGCTTTATGTATGTTCCAGTGAGAATTTGCAATTCACAAATACACAGTGAATTATGTAAGCCTTGCTGGTTTTAGATATAATGGGCAACCTAGGGTTTCCAACTAGTCCAAAGGGAACCAAAGCAAATGAGATGTGGAGCTGAATTGGCATCAAGCCCCAATATTACATTTTCATAATTGTAGTTCACAACAGTCCAAAAATAAAATTCTGAATAACAGTAGTTTCACTCATGTTAAAATTATCAGGACATTTTTTAAGCAGGGAGAACAAAGCCTAGGGCTAGTTATAAGCATTCAACTATAAATGGGATCAGGGCAATAACAAAGATTAGGCTATTAGGAAGATTCACTTCAAGTCCAAGGCTCTGGATCCACACCAGTAATAAATGTTGTATTAGCTCTGGACTGGCCTTTTGTAGATGAAATTACCAAGGATCTAACCAAGCCCAGCTACCATTGGTTAACTAAGGTCAAAGTGTAGAGTTTCTCAGGAATAGGAGCCAACTTCTTTGTAGACCATTATTTCTATAGAGCTCTGCCCTGAAGTCTGATTCTCCTGCATCTCTCTGCCTTTTGATTCACCACTTGGGGCATACATAATTTTTTTTTCAGGCTCAGAGTCCAAACTCGTTGGATCTGTGGTGGAGGACTCTGTTTGACTCTGCCAATTTTTCTGCTGATTGAAAATTAATGATGATAATAATGTCCCATCAAATTCATATTGACTCTTAGTGACCACATAAATAGATATCCTCCTGGATGATCTGTCCCCAATCTGGTCCTTCATGCCTTTCAGTGCTGCACTCATCACTGCTGTAATTGAGCCCACTGGCCTTGCTGCTGGTCATCTTCTTTTTCTTTTTTCTTCCACTTTTCCCAGCATCATAGACTTTTCTCTTTTATATATATATATATAATAATTTTATTAAAATTGTAATTACAATAGTAAAAACTAATAGAAACTAAAATGAAGGTGGAAGAATGGAAAGAGAAGGAGGTCCAAAAAAGAAAAAAAGGGAAAAAATAGAAAGAAAAATAGAGAAGAAAGAAAAGTAAGAATATACTAAAAAAAAGAAATATATAAAGAAGTGACTTCCAGCCCTT